ACGGCTAGCGCAAATAGCCCTCGTGTAGCGTTGCGCGAACTTCAAAACAAACAAACAAAGTTTCACTTTTTGTTCATAAAAGTAATTTAATGAGAATTAATTCACGTTCCTTGATCTTCTATACTGAGTTTATTCTATACATAGAAAACTCAATGTATCGATCGAACTCCTCCATTATCCAAGTTACCCCAAAGAGTTCATACTCGAATAAACACCCGCCCATTGTACCCGAGCACCAAGGCCTTGAGACAAGGCCTCCCTAAGCACCTATGCCAAGTTTGGTCCTGCTAGGTTGTGATTGGGGTATGAACACAATTTCAAATATTGTGCTCCAAGGATTCCGAGGGGGAGGGGACAGGATTACAAAATCCATCATGCTTGAGCCTCTGAGGGCTACGTCATTTAGACAAGGAAGCTCAGATCACCATAACTAGACCTGCCTGCCAAATTTTGTCCTGCTAGGTCTAAAACTACGGGCAGAATTAGTTGGACATACATACAAAGTAACTTAGAAACAGAAACCTACAGTACCATCAAATATTGCAAGTTTCATGAATGTACATTTAATTTTCTGTATTGTTATGTCAAGTGCATAAATAGAGAAACTTGTTTTACTGACATACAAAATCCATTCTTCATTGGCAGAGCCCCCCCCCCCCCAGTGGCACAACGGCATGTCTGCGGACTTACAACGCTAGAATCCGGGTTTCTTGGTGGGCAGAGCACAGATAGCCCATTGTGTAGTCTTTGTGTCTTTATTCTAAGACAAATAACGGCCCCCCCCCCCAGTGGCACAGCGGTATGTCTGCGGACTTACAACGCTAGAATCCGGGTTTCGATACCCGTGGTGGGCAGAGCACACATATATAGCTCATTGTGTAGCTTTGTGCTTAATTACAAACAAACAGTCGTTGTCAGAGTTAAAGTATAGTGAAGAATACACCTTATTTGTATAATTATTAGTGAGTTACATTTGCAAGGTTATATTCAAATGACAGATATGTGAGTTCTAGTTCAAAACAGAAAGTAGTAACGTAGAAAATAATTTCCTGATGTACAGTCAAATATTGAGAATTTCGTGAATGTACATTTAGTTTTCTGTGTCGTTATTCTCTACACTATCCCAGAAAGTTTCCGTGAAAATTAATTATAATCGTAAAGACTATGAATCGAATGAAATAATACGAACTTGAAGTATGTTTCAGTATGCGCAACAACAGTCTTATTTAGGGTTTGTGATTTTACTTATCCACATTACTAATAGTAGGTGACGTAGTTCCTATTATACCACCTAGCAACGTGCACATGGCGACGAACCCCTGTTGTTGTTGACGGGTCAATCTCCTCGACACGTTACACGAGCGTGTCGAAACTGGGGGTGAAGGTTATGTTTATTTATTTCCGTCGACATATGTGGGTCGCGGGGCTCAAAATCCGGTGACTAAACGTGCTCGTCCTTTCAGCCTTGAGGACATTATAATGTCACAGCCAATATCACTATTCGTTGCTAAAGAGTAGCCGTGGATGCTACTTGGCTGGCTGGCTGCCTTCTCTGTGGTCAGCAGTTCAAAATTAGTGAGGGTGGCAGATAGCTTTAGTATAAACACAAACGAACAAAACTCTGTGATCGGAGGTTCGAAATTTGGCACGGCGCCACGATACCCGGACTGCGCACCGACAAATGTACTGAGACAGGGCTCCATAATTGAAGGACGGCAGAACCTGTGCTTTAGACAGTGCTAAAAACTCCTCTAAAGTTTAACCATAATAATAAAATAAAATAATACCAAGAATTATCAGAGATTTATTGAAAGCCTACTGGTGCTGCTTGTTTGTTTTTTTGAATTTCGCGCAAAGCTACACGAGGGCTATCTGCGCTAGCCGTCCTTAATTTAGCAGTCTAAGACTAGAGGGAAGGCAGCTAGTCATCACCACCCACCGCCAACTCTTGGGCTACTCTTTTACCAACGAATAGTGGGATTGACCGTCACATTATAACGCCCCCACGGCTGAAAGGGCGAGCATGTTTGATGTGACGGGGATTCGAACCCGCGACCCTCAGATTGCGAGTCGAGCTCCCTAACCACCTGGCCATGCCGGGCTGCTGGTGCTGCTACAACTCCAAGAAACAACGAGAGAGTGTTAAAATATACTTGGTGATACAGCAAATATAATATCATTTTCGGCGGTTTGTAACACTGTGAAAACAAAAGAAGTAAATTCGATGACGAGGAACCCACTTTGAGACTAATAACGGTTGGAGACGGCTTGAACATAAGTTTAACATAGCAGCAAATGTACAACGTTTCGACACGGTTTTGTCATCATCAGGTGTTGTGTTAAACTTATGTAAAAGTTTTTCTTCATTACCCATTCAAGCCTTCTCCAACCATTAAAATAAATAAATGTTTTATTGACATTTTAAAAATGCACAATGAACCACATTAAATTATAAAAAGGACAAAATCTGAAATTTGTGATGGTTTCGAATCATTAATGTTCGGACTGCGGATTTTCTGAGGTAAAACAATCTGTGTTCGATCAGTGCCACTACTAAACGTACTATGTAGTCAGTGATATAACCTGTGTTCGATCATGAAGTGCCACTACTAAACGTACTATGTAGTCAGTGATATAACCTGTGTTCGATCAGTGCCACTACTAAACGTACTATGTAGTCAGTGATATAACCTGTGTTCGATCAGTGCCACTACTAAACGTACTATGTAGTCAGTGATATAACCTGTGTTCGATCAGTGCCACTACTAAACGTACTATGTAGTCAGTGATATAACCTGTGTTCGATCAGTGCAACTACTAAACGTACTATGTAGTCAGTGATATAACCTGTGTTCAATCAGTGCCACTACTAAACGTACTATGTAGTCAGTGATATGACCTGTGTTCGATCAGTGCCACTACTAAACGTACTATGTAATCAGTGATATGACCTGTGTTCGATCAGTGCCACTACTAAACGTACTATGTAGTCAGTGATATAACCTGTGTTCGTTCATGAAGTGCGACTACTAAACGTACTATGTAGTCAGTGATACGAAATAAACGTAAAATATTACATCCTAAACTGGTTTACACTTGGTCATTTTAGCTGTTTTAAAAGCCTATTAATAATCCATTCATCTTAACAACTACTCATTTGTTTGTAGATATGAATTACTATTTTTACCCAGTTAAAATACATAAAAAATCTCATAAAAGGTTTTGCCTTGTCCGTTTTGTTGATATAAGTTGAAAGATATTTGGAATACAAATCAATAGATCAATCTTGAGTCTTTACTGTGTGAGCCAACATGAACTGAAGGCTTAAATGTTTTGAGCATTTTCTGAACGTCCTACAACAACTTAAGTAAGAGAATGGATACAGTGCATGAATCAAAATTTTGAATATTATGACCTTGTTCTGTTTTAGAGATCCTTCGGGGGGTTTCGGCTAATTTTGTTGTTGAGAACTAAAAACTTTGACTATGTAATATAATTTTTACTCATCTTGAACTTAAAGTATTCCTTTCTGGATTTCAATGTATTTAGAAACATCGATGTTAATATGTTTTTTAACCCCATATGCATTAATATAAAATATTTTTTCTAAATTTCTTATAACAGCTCATTACGAAGGAAATAACATGAAACATTATTTGCATTAAGGTTTTAGGCGAATAACGGTATAATAGATACCACTCCAATCTAATATCCATCAGAATATATTTCAAACTTTTTATAAAATCACATTGTAATGACCAATCCAGTCCTCTTATGGGTCAGCGATAAGTTTACGGACTTACAACACTAACATCCGGGATTCGATTCCCCGTGGGAGACACAGCAGATAACCCCATGTGACTCTGGTCTAAAAGAAACGAACTAACTAACCATACTCATGGTTGCCACAGTATGAAAGTTGACGGTTTTAAAAAAAAATATATATATATATATATATATTCTGTTTTTTTTCTACAATTTATCTTAAAACATTTCTGACACTATTTATCTTAAGTATAACGTCGTATTCTTTATTCTGACATGAAAAATATTTCGAAATGAATTATTCATCTCACAGGTACATTGTTTTGATAAGGGCCATCTTTTACTTTGAAAAAAAAAGTTTGCTAAAGCCAACACTAGAATAAATAAATAAAAGAAAATAAGAATGTGTATGAAGGATTCGAACTCTTGATCCTGATTTACTGAACTATTTCTTTTGATTAGCCTGTTGCAAATTTAAATCTTGTTTAGACTCCAAATTAATATTTAGTAAAATAGAACTTTATTGACCATTATTCTATATTGCTTGTTTCATAATAACACGTATACTTGGAAAACAGTGAAAAAAAGTACACTTCGTAATCACTATACACTATAAAAACAAGACCTTGATAACAGAATATCGCAATATAAAAGTCATTCAAGTGTATAAACCAACATCATTCAGGATTAGTTAGCCACGTTCTTACATCTGTTTCGTTTCATCATAAAGTTCTGGTTGATATTAATAAATGTAAGTGAAGGTTTATATAATAATAATCACTAGTAAAAGAAAAAGAAAACACTGAGCGTCTATAGTGAGTAATAATATGAAAAATATACTTTCGGTTTTAGGGATACGAAAATATTACAACTTTGGTTGAACTTTTCGATTAATTTCCATTAATAAATTCGAAATATCAAAAAAGAGAGGAAAAAAATGACCAGTCGAATATTTTATTGTGCAAAAATAAAACTATAACATTCTGTTATTAGTAGCGTTCTTTATATATATATACACACACAAAGATATATATACTTATCTTAAACTAACTTTACTTATGTGTTACACAGCTGGTCTTCCGGTGAAAGAACAAAAAAAAGAAAGTAAAGAACACCACAGCGATGTTTTATTCACGTGCACGATACATCAGTGAGTTAATGAGATTTTCTCATAGAGCTATTTTAGACGTTTTTAGTTTTGGTAGGTTATAACTGTAACGATTATAAACAAACACTGAAACAGATGTATTTTTTTTTCTGTGAAAATCAAGACACTTATTTTACTTACTTGAGATTAATTTACTGAGCAATGTTTTACAAGATTTACACCCGACCTTATTGACCCATGTTATGCATTAGATCCCTTTCCTGTATAGAGGTATTACAAAATATGATCATTAAATGACATTAATACATCTCAGAAAGAATTTTGACTATTACTTTGTGTGTTCGCAATGATCTACTATAAATGCTAAATATCTATTTTCTCAAATGAAATCTAACCCAGAAAAACGTCTTACCAGTTGAAATGTTCTTTTTCAAACAATTGTCTATTTTTACAGTTTGTTTGCTTGTAATTGAGCACAATGCTACACAATGGGCTATTTGTGCTCTGCCCACCACGGGTATTGAAACCCGGATTCTAGCGTTGTAAGTCCGCAGACATACCGCTGTGCCACTGGGGGCTATTTTTACACACTATAAGGAAAGGTATAACACTGATAAATGTAAACAAACTAGTGATCTCAATTATCGATAACGTTTGTAGGATTGATTTTTTTTTCTATTTCCATATTTTACTAATGTTAAATGTCTATGCTGTTAAGTAACCTTTAGAAATCTATATCACATATATATATCCTTCTTTCAGAAGCTATGCGTATATCACTTTACGTAATTTGTATTTACCCTTACTGAAAGTAGGTTTAGTAAACAACAGTAACATTTCTAAGAATATAAAACTTGAAGTGTATGGTGTATTGTTTGTTTGCTTTATATCGTGCTATTTTAACTTGGGAGTTCACGATCAAATCAATATTAAGATTAGTACTGAATACAAACTAAAACTTATAGTCAACATAAAAAGTAGTTTTAAGGTATTTCAGATAAGGTAAATAAACTTCTGCGAAAGAAAAACCTTTATAAAACGTGATATGAATAATAAATGTTCCTGAAATGAATGAAAAGTGTAGAAAGCGAAGGAATTAATTTCTTTACCTTTCTTGGTTGATTTATCGGTATTCACTACGATTTTAAAATACGAATGCTAGTTTTATCAATTAGTAATTCCATGAAGTCACAAAATACTGTAAGTACTCCTTGGGGAGGAGGAGGAGGAGGAGGAGGGAGGGGGGGTGTCTACAATATTTTGTTCCAGAAAAATCTTGTCGGAGGGAGGTATCTACTAATTTAGTATAAAAATAATCGTAGGTGGTCACCCCACGAATGTGTCTGATCGTATTCTAAACTGAAATATGCATTTTATTATTTGCTTATTGAAAAGGCCAATAAATTTGAATAACCATTGGAGAAAAGAGTACTTAAAGAAATTACCAGTGTGAAATATTTCTAAGTCTGCTGTTATTTTCATCCAGAAATCAGTAATTGAATCGCCTCTTAGAATATTTTTTTTTTGTTTTCAAAGCCCCCCACAATGGTAGAATAAATATGAATGCTTATAATGGTAAAAAGCAAGTTTCGATAACAGAGGTGGGTACAGCACGTACACAGTATGGTCACAAGTAAATAGACACCACCTTTTCAGAAATTTTTTTTTAATAATATTCACATGAATTGATGT